ATATTTTAATATATATTAAAAATAAAAATTAGACAGTGAGTCAACCCTCATTCTTCCAGATAATAATTAAACAATAAGAGACATAGAATATAGACCCAGAAGCTTAAACATCCATTTGATAGGAATTCCAGAAAAAAAATAAGAGAATGGAGCAGCAGAAATAATTAAAGAAATAATGAAGAAAACTTTCCATAGTTAAAGATTCATGTCTTGAGCTTTTCAGTGCCTACTGAGTACCCAGTAAAATTGATGGAAGGAGATTTACTCCTAGACAAATCTTGGTGTCTACAATGATAAAGAAAAAAATCATAAATGCTTCTGGAGAGAAAAAAGAGATAACCTACCAAGGAATAAGTATCAGATTGATAGCAGACTTATCACTGAATATTCTGGATGCTGGAAGTCTGTAGGGCAATATCATAAATGTTCTGCAGGCAAAAGACTTTAAACCTAAAATCTTATATCCAGCCAACTGGTATTTGATTTTGAGGCTAAAACAAAGATATTTTTTGATATCGAAAATATAGTTTATTTCTTGCTTATCATCTTTGAAAGAATTACTGAAGGATATGTTTTAGCAATCTAGGGTGAGAATAAACACATAAGTATAAGACATATTTTCCTTCCACACCAAAAATCAACAAGACTGGAAAATAAAATGCCACATTTCTACCCAGTAAGATGAACAGTTAACAGTATACTTGAGGATGAAGACAAAAGGTTACAGATATTACCTAGATGTTGTCAAAGTTAAAAGCTGTATTAAATTTTTAATGATAATCATCTTAGCTTATATAGGAGCAAACTTTCTAAACTACTGGGTGAGGGAGGGAACCTGTCAATGTAATCATAGACAGGAAAAGGTAGGAGGAAAGTAATAGAAATGCTTAGGAAAAAAAGATGTCAGGATAAGTTAAATAGAAAAAAAATGCAAAAGTTGAAACTTTGTATCAAGAGAATATTTAATTTTATCATTTATTGTAATGTGAATATTGAATCTGTTAAATTTTTTTCCTTTGATTATGAAAAAAATAAAATAAAACAAACAAAAAACCCCAAAGAAATAGAAAATAAAAAAGAAAAATCAAAAATCTATCCAAAAATCTAACTTCTAAATATAGATGCTCCTCAACTTACAATGGGGTTACGTCCCAATAAATCCATCGTAAAATGAAAATATCATAAGTCAAAAATGCATTTAATATTACACTGTAGAGTATTGGTTGTTTACCCTTGTGATCATGTGGCCGACTGGGAGCTTCAGTTTGCTGCCTCTTGCCAAGCATCACAAGAGAGTATCTTACTGTATATCAATAGCCCAGAAAAAGATCAAAATTCAAAGTCTAATTTCTACTGAATACATATTGCTTTCACACCATCGTAAAGTTAAAAAACCATAAGACAAACCATCATAAGTGAGGGACCATCTGTAATAGGCATTCCAGAAAAAGAACAAAGAAAATAGAGAAGAAATTAACAAGGAAATAATTAAAGAAAATTTCCTCCAAAACTGAAGTACATGAGTTTACATTTTCAATGAGTGCTCAGGACGAATAAATTATTAAGCATCGCACCAAAGAACATCATTATAAAATTTCTGACCAATATTCTGGAGGAAAAAACCCTCATGTTTCCAGAGACAAGGAAGACGTAACATACAAAGGATCAAGGATATGAATAGGAATCAGACTTTTAAAATAACAACCTTGAAAAGTAGCATAAGATGTAATAAATACCTTTAAAATTATGAGGAAAAAATATTTTCAAACTTGAATTCAATAACCAGCCCAACTACATATCAAGTGTTAGAATAGAAGATATTTTAAAATATGCAAAGACTCTAACATATCCCCTCTCTTCCTTAGGAAATTAGTAGAGGAGGTGCTTTAGCAAAACAAGGAAGTAAAGCAAGAAAGAGGAAGACATGGGATCCAGGAAATGGGGAAAACCGGCCCAAAACAGCTATGAAGGAAAATCCCAGAATGACACTGTAGTACTAGTCTAGAGAGCAGTTATCCAGATTGAAACAAGAGGAAGTAAGATCCTAGGACAAAAACTCTAAAGAATAAGTGGAACTTACGTAATTGAGTATATGGAAAATATTGCTAGAATTTTTGACAATCTTAGAGCACCTGCAGTGGTTGGGGGGCAGCCAAATGTAGATACATAGAAAATTGATAAGTGAGAGAGAAAAAGGCAATAATTAACTCTAGCTGTATAAGCTAGAAGGCAGGTTGTAATTCACTTCTTCTCCTTGGTAAGCAATATTTGCATACATAATAATTTAAATGCTGATTATTGGTTTAACCAACAATTGTTACATAACTATGTGGAGGGGGGAACAGAAATGATGAGTCATGTTCTTATCTACCATGGCAGAAAGTCAACAGATAATCCTTAAAATTAACAAATCAACAATTAGTCATATAAACATTTATTTAGATACATGGATATAATCGGGATGAGTATGTAGAAGAATTGAGGATAGGTCATGAACTGGTTTTTTTTCAAGGCTTTAGTGTCTGCATATACTTTTAAAATATGTATATTCATCATTTTAGTTCAGTTTAACATATAACATTAATTTTAAAGCGTTAGCATATAATTTGGGGCATCTGCAATGTCTTGAACTTTATCCATGGCCGGTAAGTAAAGAAATGTTTTAAAGAGCTGTATGAGCCTTGAGTACAGGGGTCGGGATGAGTATGTAGAAGAATTGAGGATAGGTCAGTGAACTGGTTTTTTTTCAAGGCTTTAGTGTCTGTATATACTTTTAAAATATGTATATTCATTATTTTAGTTCAGTTTAACATATAACATTAATTTTAAAGCGTTAGCATATAATTTGGGGCATCTGCAATGTCTTGAACTTTATCCATGGCCGGTAAGTAAAGAAATGTTTTAAAGAGCTGTATGAGCCTTGAGTACAGGGGCCAGTTTTTTGTTCATTTTCTTGTTCCTCCCCCCCCAACTCCTCCATCCCTGCTCTGAGAGCACTTAGGAAACATAACATTGCATGTAGAAGGGCTTCAACTAAGTTTGTTAGATTCCCTCGGAAGAGGAAAATACAAAACAAGGCACAGATGTAGCACAATAATGAGTTCAGATTCTGCATGTGGATGAGTAAGAAGGTATGTGTGGCAGAGGTACTGGAAGGGGATAATCATGTTCGGGCCCCTAGAGGCAGCTCCCCAGGCACAGAACTGCAGGCATGACAAGCCTGTGGAGGCCCATCTAAGTTGCCTTTCACCTAGATGACTTCTCATTCCTTTTCTTCATTGCTCTTTAAAACAATTTATAGTTATGTAATTGTTTATTTATTGTTTCCTTCACCAGACTATAAGCTCCACTAGAGCAAGACCTCGTCTATTTCATTCACCACTGTATCCCCAGCACAGAGCAGAAGTCCATCAAATATTTGTTGGAGAAAAATGCGTAATGGTGCCGCCGGACAGTCATCAGCGTGGCCTGAGGGGGTACACCGTCAACAAACAAGCTGAAAACAAAGAAGTACGCTGGGAAATGACAAGAGCAAGCTACTTGAGGGGTCTCTGAAACGGTAAGACGAGAAGGGTGGAGTAGACCTCTGGGACAGGGAGCGCAAGGGAGGGGATACACAGTAAGGCATGCCTTGGAAACCACAGCCCGCTAAGAGACAGACTAATAGGGTCTGAGAAAGTAGAGGCGGCGTAGAGGCACTGCGCATGCGCAAGCGCAGCCTCCGTTTACCCTGCGCGCGCCTGCGTGCGCGCACACGAGGAGTCGGAGCGGAAATGGCGCCGCGGGACCGCGCGTCTGGGCGGTGAGCGGAAGTGGGTGTGAGAGCGGAAGTGGCCGGCTAGGGCCGGGGGCTGGGCGGGGACCGGGCTTGTCGGTGAGGCGGCAGCGGCGGCGGCGGCGGCTCGGCAGGCGGGTTCAGGCTTCTGGGGCCAGGTCGGTCAGGTGGGTGGGTGTCTCCACAGTCAGTACTTACGCGAGACAGCGCGCGCTTCTTCCCTTTCTCCCCATCCCGGTCCCTCTTCCCTTCTCCCCTAACCTTCTACCCCACCCAGCCCCCCTCCTCAGGGAGCAGCAGGACCGCTCCCTCCGTCCTTCCCTCCCTTACCCACCCTTGTTTCTCCTTCCCCTGCCCGGGGCAGCCGCCGCCATGATCCTGCTGGAGGTGAACAACCGCATCATCGAGGAGACGCTCGCGCTCAAGTTCGAGAACGCGGCCGCCGGGTGAGCGCGCCCCCGGGGCCGGAGGGCGGCGAGGGAGGCAGAGTTGACCCCTGTTCATCTCCAGTGTTGTTCAGCCCCCCAACCCTCGACAACGGGAGAGGGAGATGGGGACCTGGACGGGTGTGGGGACTGCCCCGGCGGAGTAAACGTGGGAGGCAGTTGGGCGCGGTGGGGTGAGGATCAGAGATGCGTGGGGAGAGGCTCAGAGGAGGGATGCGGAAGCAGTGAGTGGACAGGAGTGCGCGTGCTAAAGGGCAGGAGACCTGTGGGATGTGAGGGCAGCTTGGGCTAGAACTCAAGCTGGAGGATCCCATTGCCCTCTGGAGCGAGCAGGGGGCCACTTCCCTGCGTATTCCCCGTCATTGTTCAGAACCCGAGGATAGCCCGTTTGGATTGGGTTGGAAGGAGTTTTCAGGAATTCCCAGGGCTAGAGGAGGGAAGAAGACGCAAGCCCAGATCATCACCAGCTTTCTCGCTCCCCACCCCCAGCTCCTCGTTTCGTTTAAAGGAGTAAGAGGGAAGAGTGAAAGCAGACCCAGTCTTGCAGCCAGAAAGACACGATATCTAGTTTCCCTTCCCCAAACCCGGTGAGAGACACTGGCCATTTTATTTCACATTCCTCAAGCAAAGCTAATAGTTTCCCCATCACACCCTTTCCTTATCTCTTCTGGGGTTCTCATTCACTTTTCCCCACGCACTAGCTTTTATCTGGTTGTCTTTTACATTCTTTACCAGACCCCTGGTCAGTGATTTCTTCGGTGGTAGTATTGGTCCAGATGCAAGCTTGAAAGCCTTCAAAAGCCTATAAAGGTCTTAGATGACCTTTTTTTTTTTTTTTTTACCATTGGCCTTTTCAAAGGTGGCCTTAGGACAAATTTCCAAGGCAGCCTTCTCTATCCAACACAGGAAACGGTAGAAGACAGTCTTCTCCCCCAAAGCTGCTATACTTTTAAGATATGAGCCAGGAAATTGCTTTTAGCTTCTAATTTTTGGCTGATCCCTTTGCCTTATTTCCCCATCTTTGAGGATGGGGCTTCACATCTTGGTTCCACAGTTGAAGAAATAAGTGCAAACTTTCTGGTGAACTGAGAACTAGTAAGAGGAAAGTAAGTGCTTGGAGAACCCTAGGTGGGAAGGGATTGGTGGAAGGGAAATTCTAAGTGGTCATATGACCTTGTGGCTTGGAGGCATTAAAAAAATACTTCTAACCCACCGCTTAAATTGAGTATATTGTTTCCTATCTCTTTTATAAGGCCACAGATTTTATCTAAAACAAAGCACAACTTTCCTTGAAGTGACACATACAGTGAACAGTTGCTATTATTTTCTGCCAGGGGCTGCAGTTGCTTATATTTTAGACTAACTTGCTGCTTGTCTTCAGCCTCACTTACCAGTTCCTTTGCATTTTGAATGTTCAAGGGAATCAGCTCAGAGTCTTATTTTGGGTAATTGCAATGTACTTTTTTGAGCAGTGTAGCACACAGGAAGTTAAATTAACTTCTGCATTTTTACAGCTCATCTAAGTGCATTCTCAAGTCCGGACTAGTAAAGAATGAGACCTGGGCAGTTATATGCGGATCTACAAGATAAATGCCTGTGCATTTTCAAGTAGAAGCTTGCCTTGTAGTGTAGGAGTTCCATTCATATCTATTTGTGTGTTAATAACTTGATTCCAAAATGTACCCCTTTATTCAGAACTTCAGTTCTTTTCATTTTAGAAAATTACTCTTAAAAAAAGCAACTAACCATTTCAGAGGATTTAAAATAGGCACTCAAGTCTGGAACGCATAAGTTAGAACTTCTAGGACATTTTTTACAAAGTATATGTTGTAGTAGTGTTGGATATTGGGGCAGGGCAGCAAGTTTTGGCTTTTATTCTGGCCCATCTTCCCTTTAAGATATGACTTTAAATTAGTAGACTCAAAACATATTCTGCTGAAAAGCACTTTGAAAAGAGATGGTGATACAGGCCAGGGAGGTAGGGCTTTCCTGGGGTTGCACATATAACACCCAGCTGAAGCATGCGTCTAAAAAACCCGAGTGAATTTGCAGGCATACCAGGGAGGTGAGGCAGCAGTGAAGTAGTTAAGGCACATTCCTAGGTCAGAACGTCCAGCAAAGGAAGACTGGTGTGATAATCATAAACATTTTTGGGATTCTATCAGTGCTCAGTACCATGCAGGTACAGAAAAAGGGGGGGCTTTCTGAGAGAGCCTGTTTGCAATGTTACAGAGGAGCTAAGGGGTAAGATGTGTTGGAGTAGAGATCAGAGGAAGACATTAAGGAAATGGAGTAGCTTGGAGGAGAAACCCTGGAGATTTGAAAAGCTTTGCCTGTGTGGAAACCTGGAAGAGGTCAGCTCCACCCTGCTTTACCCTTCTCAGCAAACCAATTGGAGAAATTATGGTTCAGAGCAACCCTTTGCAGAATGAATCTTCCAACTCTGGTGTCCTCCTATAATAACCAGTAGCTACGTGTGGCTAGTTAAGTTTAAATAAGAATTAAAGTGAAATAAAAATTAAGTTCCTTAGTCACACTAGCCACAGTTCTTGTGCTCAGTTGCCACATGTGGCTAGTAGCTGCCAAATTTGGCAAGTACAGATATAGAACATTTCCATGATTTCAGAAAGTTCTAATGCTCAACACTCTTCCAGCTACTGAAAATGTAAGCATGAGATAGTCTTATAAACAGTTCTGTAGTATATACTTCAGAACACAGTTACCATAGCTTTCCTTCTGAGAGTGATCTTTTTTTAAATGATGCCTCTCGTATGTTGGATCTTCTTGCCTGTGACATCTTAGTAAAAGCACAAACTTCCTTCGGGTAGAGGAGTTTTGTCATCTAAACTGTTCAAGAATACATTTGGTCATGATAACCTTTTAATTCAGAGGCTGTTCCAACAAAGCTTAAGATTCATTCCGAGCAAAATTGCTTTTTATTTTTTCCTACCACACTCCTGAGAAAATGGCTTATTGGAATGATTCATATAGCCTCACAAAATGATAATTATTAGTAAGTTGTCTTCCCAACAGCCTACAAACTAAGAATGTGACTGATTAAAAAGCTGTACTTAACACTGCAAATAACCTCATGTACAAGTCTTTTCAACGACATTGCCTTTTCATTTAGGAATTCTTAACCCAGACCCCCAATTAAAGCAGAAGTAATCTGGCAAATTAATTTAATTATTTTGTTACTATATACACACCAAGAACCTTTTCAGCCTTAGAAGCTAGGCCTGTCTACTTAGCTAGAGCCTAGAGTCCAAGATTGAGGAAATGCTATCAGATGCAAATTGCTGTTGATTTTAAGTGTGTGCTGGCTTCTTGCCACAGCTGTGCATATTGTGGGGCGCTGTGATTCTGTGAGGGGGAGTGAAGCTCAGTAAGCAAGCAGTGCCAGTTGGGGTGGGCGAGGACTGTGGGAGGAGAAAATTTGAGAAAGGAATAAATTAAATCTTGCTGATACCTTGTTCTCATTCCCAAATATGCTGCATATGTCCTCCGAGAGACAGACTGGTTTGAAGTGACTCGGAATTAGGACATTGTTGAAGCATTTAGAAGAACTGGAATGTAGTGGCTGACTCGCTAAGAGGATCTGCTTGGTCTTTTTACAGGTCATTGTAGTTACACACTGCTGCCTGGCCTCTGGCCTCTTTGAGACAGCTTTGGGCATGAAGCCCCAGAGGTACACTCCACCAAATTGATGACTCCTTAGGGACATTGTCATTTTAGTCATCCTTGTTTCCTAGCATCCTCATTGTATATATTTTGTCAGTTCAGTAAATATTTTCTTGAAGGATAAAGCCAGTTAGAGTGGTTCTCAGTTTCCTTAGGAGGAGCTTATCACTTTCCTGACACTGTGTGAATAGCCTTTTAGATCTTTCCATATTTTGAGATACCGCTTAAGCAAAGAGTAGAATGACCTCTTATCTAATATCCATTTGTATAGGCTTTGGTCAAAGAAGATGATGAGAGCCTTATAGAAGACTCAGAGAATGATCAAAAACTTTTCTGGTGAGATAGCAGAATTCAGTGATTCTTCTAATTCACCTCACGGAAGGGATAACTAAAAGAGGAACGTAAATGCCCAAGTGGAGAATCGGATACATTTGGGAGTAAAAACTCCAAAATGCTTAATGAGAAAAAGAGGATTAGATAATATAGTTTCCAGGAGTTCTTTACTGACTGATTAGATGACATTCTAGATGCTTCCTTAGAAAAAACGATTGAAGAAAATTTTTTCTAAAGGATTTTAAAAGCTCCTGAAACCCTCTTAATGAATTTAATGTGTTTTAGTGTCTTATGCTGTCCAGTCAGTAAACGGGAGAACCTAGCCAGCTGGCTTGTTCCAGGATGTAAACGTTACAACAGTCCAACACTAATAGGTCTTCTCCTTCTTGTACTGTGGAACAGTTGCTGATTCTGGGAATTTCCATAATCCCAAAACCTCTCCCTACCGTGGCTTCAAGTCTGGTCTCCTCTCATATCACCTTGAAGAAAAACTCATTTATTGATGACCTGTCAACCAGGCACTTGGCTATAAGCTTTAACATGGGCTCATTTGATTTCAAATGTGCCCCTGTGATAATAGCACTTCCTATTTATGGTTGAGAAAACTAGGGCTCTTGAGAGTTGCAGGGGGAGTAGACATGAATTAAGCGTTGTGCAGGCACCCAGCACTGGTGATTTCTGACTTTATTTATGATATATCACACACACACACACTAAAGGAGATAATATTTGTACATTTGGGTAAATGGTCGTCGAGCCTCGAGGTCATGCCACTAGGCTGCCCAAAGAGCTGTGGGGATCATTATCTCAGCATATCTGTAACTTAGTCATAAGACTGTTGGGGAAACTTTGCTGTACACACCTCATCTCAATCTAGAAAAGGAACCTGAGGCTCAGTGACATTTGAATAACATTGCCTGTGGTTACATAGCTAGTAAGTGACAGAACTCTGAAGGACTTGCTTTTTCTGTAATTAAACTCACCCCCACTATCCGAAACGTTAGCAAATGGTAGAACAGAAAATAACCATTTATCTTTTTGGCCTGTTAAGTGGTACACTTTCTCCCAGACCAATCTTACTCTCCCCTAGCTCCATGATTTTAAACCACAAAAGTAAATAAACACCTGGTCTTGGAATTGAGACACAATCTTGGTCACAGTCTCTTTTTCAGAGCAGAGTTCTTGGACCTCTAACTCCCAAATGACTTCTCAGGAAGACTCCTTTGGCCTAATGCTGTCTCTGCAGCCTGTCTCTTCTGCAACCTTTTGCGAAGTCATAAATAGTAAACTGAAATATTAATGGCAGTGATTTGACAAATGTTCTCAAGTCAAGCAGCAAACCACTTAGTATAGATCTTAGCAACTTCTCCCACTGGGGATCTGTGCTCAGGGAACTTTATGGCCTAAAGAAATTCAAAATTCCAGAGTCAGAATGTTTACAGCTTGGAACCCTAAGGTGATTTATTTATAGTTGATTTTTCTCAGTCTGTTGATGAAGTGGGAGAGTGAGGAATTCAATCTTTCACTGGCAGCATTAAAGCCTAAGGTTAAAACATAACAATCACCACCCCTTAAGTGATGCAATGTGGACCTTTATAAACCTCCACCCTGACTTTGGCATAGCCAGCCTTCCCCAGAAAAGTATTCTTCAGTGCTTCCTCCCATCGTGCAGCTCTTACTGTCTCATTCAAATGTGTTGTAGGGCTGTGTTTGTACTTCTTCCTTCTTTGCTCTTGTTTTCTAGAGGTGAGGAATGGTTGTTGGCCATTCACTGCCTTTGTCTCCTCGCTACAGTTTCCCACGAAAGAATAGAAGCAACTTAAATTTTATTCTAGTTCTTTTCATCATATTCTGAACTCCACTTCTTCATAAACCACTTGATACTTCCATTCTTACACTCAAATTACTTTTCTTATGTCACATATGAATGGCTTTGAAGATGCAGGATAGAATTTTGTGTGTGATTTGTATGGGTTGATTTTTCAACAGGACTATAACATATGCTCAATAGAAGCCAGTTTCCTTGAAAGGTATTGTTTAGCCTCTGCAGCAGCCTTTTTTTTTTAAAACAGTCATAAACAATGTTATATATTCCCTTATTTCCCAGCAACCCTGGAGGGCACTTATTCGTGGTTCCTTTTACAGGTGTGAGGGAGCAAAGGTAGTATAAAACCTGTGCACTTAATTGCGAGGTCTTGAGCAAGTTAGTCAAGAATAAATGTGAAAATGTGTCTATCTTGTCTGCTGGCCCATAAAACAAAGTGGACCCATTTGAGTTGGTAGCTAGCTGATAAACAGTCATAGAGTCTTCATATGTTTCCTACCATTGGACTTAAAGAAGTGGAGAGAGTATGTAAAGTAGCTTTTTGTTGAGAGTTAATTGACCATTATTGTTTATAGCTAGGATTATGTCATGCTTCCTAGGTAATAAGTCGGTAGCATTTATCAGATACATGTCCACGTACCAGGCTAAGCTGGGAATGGCACAGAAGGTATTAAGCTGTCATTGCCTTCCAGTATAGGTTCTTTCATGTCTGTTCTCCTGTTTTAGCTTCAGCAGTTCTGTGAGGTAGGATCGCTTGTATTCACCCATTTTATAGATGATTAGGTCAGAAAATAAAGGCGTATAGGTATTTGTCTAAAAACATGATCCTGATGAAAAAGCTAAAGTTGGAAAATATGTGTCTTGACTGTTTTCAGTGGCTTCACAGTGTTGTTTTGTGCTACACTTTCTATGGAAGTATAGCACTGTAATTTCAAGACAAAATAAAACTAGGGTAGAACTAGTTAAAGATAGCTTCATGAAGGAGAGTGGTGAGTGCTTTGGTGACATAAAGGAAAGGGAAAAGACGTGTAGGAGGGTTTACAGGTTGTCTTTGAAATAGAAAAGAACTTCCTGTTTTATGGCCTGAAAGCATCCTCTCACCTCAAGTATATTAAAACCATGCTTCATTCTATTTAGCAGTTTTCTTGCTGAATGTCCTACCCCCATCACTACAGTCCTGTGGAGGAGACATTGACCAAAAGTTGGTACGTTCACACAGACAGTCTGTGTGTATCATGGTCTTAGGGAATTCAGAATTGAAGGTGACCACCAACCACAACAGAGATTCGACAGTATCTGGAAAACAAAAGTTTTATCTGTCCTGCTTTTTTTTATCCTCCACCTTAACTAAGTCCAGAGGTTCAGATGCATAAGAAAATTAATTGTATACTCAGGTCTGCAGTAAATATAAGACTGATACATAGTGGTCTGATCTTAAATTAAGCTCAAGAGCCTTTGCAAGTCCCCTCAAAGTCATGCAACAATAGTTATCTTTCCTAAGGGACTCTTGTTTTGTTTTGCAGAAACAAACCAGAAGCAGTAGAAGTAACATTTGCAGGTAAGTGTCTTTATCTTAACTTTATTAAGAGAATGCACAATATAAAAAATAGAAAAAAACTGTTCCTAAAATAAGCTTTGACATTTGAGGTACTATCCCTTGATTGTCAGATCTTTCTAAAGTCTTTATTTCATGAGTTTAGTGAACACTGTAAAGTTACCCACTGATATCTTAGAAGTTGGGGTTTAATTTTGTGATACAAAATAAGGGTTTTTTCATTCAGAAATAATAAGTTATTGTCTTCAAATAGCTATCATCTCAGTTTGTCTACCGCTAGACTTAGCGGGAAAACATGAAAATGCTAGAGACCTGTTCAGCAAGTCAGATATTACTGCTTTCTGTTCCCTGTAAAGAACTGGGTGTTGATACTACACTTACTGTGTGAACTTTTGAGTTATATAGCTACCCTCTGAAAAATAAGAGTGCTTGACTAGATAATCTTGGAAGACTTTTTACAGCTCTGAAGTGCTGGGACTTGGAGGCAGGCACTGTCCCCATCTCACGCTACTAACCAGCCATGCCACCTCTCCCTGAAGTGATGGCCACTCACACCTAGTTTCAGGAACTACACAGGATAAGCCCTCTGTACTGTAGAAGAATAGAAGCCAAAAAGAGAGGAGGCCTATAGATTAAAAGCTTAAGAAATAACCAGATGCATGTGCCGCCTCATTTGGATCTGAATTCAAGTAAGACAACAGTTTTTTTGAGGGGGAGGATGTTGTTTAATTTTTTGAGACAGTATTTGAACACGTGACTAGATACTTGATATTAAGAAATGGTTAAAAAAATTTTTAATTCTTCCAGCACTAAGCTGTGATTAAGGTAAGACTAGCTTTGTAATTTTAGAAGAGCAAAGAGATAGGTACTCGACAGCTCTATCTCAGTGTTTCTGCTGACTTCCCACATGGATCTGAAATAAACGCCATTTTACTCATATTCCTTTTTACAAGAGAGACTTTGCTTATGGCCTACAGCAGGTAGGCAGGCACTTTGAGATAAGCAGTCTTACTTGCTTTCCTCACAGATTTTGATGGGGTCCTCTATCATATTTCAAATCCTAATGGAGACAAAACAAAAGTGATGGTCAGTATTTCTTTGAAATTCTACAAAGAACTTCAAGCACATGGCGCTGATGAGGTAAGTTCCACATCATTTTCCTTGGGGCTCTTGTTGGCAACTTTTATTGGCAACTCGCCACTCAGAGAAGATCCATGATACTGAATTCCCCCACTGGCACTGACCACTCTGGACAGCTTGCTCACCTAACCAGGGGCTCTTGATTTCATTTCCCATAATGATGTAAAGACAGGTGTTTCCCAGAAAAGATTTTGGCTCTTTACTTGCTTATTTTTTACTCTGGAGAAATATAAATGTTCCCTAGCCATTGAAAACAAAAACCGCTTTAATTCTCAAAAAATGTGGTAAAAAATAGTCTTTGACCAGTACGAAAATAGCTATCATGTGAATGGGTTCTGTTCTGTTTCTATAACGTCGTCAAGTGGGTTCTGTTCTGTTTCTATAACGTCAAGTAGGTATATAAATTCTAGCCTGTCTAAAGTTTATAATCTTAATTTTTCATTCTGAAGTGTTCTTTCTTCCTTACAACTACCTTAGGAGAAGTAAGAAAGGATGTCCATGCATTATGAAACTCTTGGTGGCCATGCCTTCTTCACTGGCTTCTTTCGATAGCTAAAGTAGCAGGTTTGGTTCCTGTTGAACTATATTTGCTCTGGGGAGAGCCATTTATGGAAGAAAGAAAATGCTGTTACACCAGTGTGCGTACACGTTGTGGTTGGGTCTCAGAGCAGGAAGTATGACTCAGTTCCTGAATCAGTTTTCAAATATCTTTTAGTTTTAACAAACTAGGTTCTCCTTAATCTGGTGAATGAATATACAGCCATTTTTATTTTCTTTCTGATTAATAGTAGTAGATTTTGATTGTTTAACATTTATGTTATGAAAAGGCTGTTTGCAAAAGAATATGATCAAATCTCAATAATTTTTTTGGTTTAAAAACTAAAATTGCATGTTAACCAAACAATACCAAGAGCCATAGGCAGTCACTTCCCTTGGTTATTCATATGCAGTTGATTTTTCCTATAGAGAAGAAGGGAAGAGTCAGAACCTTTTCTGATTTGCCTCTAAAGTTCAAGGGAAGAAGAAACATTTAGAGCATTTGTATACAGGGTCATTTTATCTGAAAAAGAAAAGCTTCAGAAGAAAGACCTAATCATAAAAAGCATATAAAGCAATTATATGAAAGACAGCAGTTAAATCTTCTCTTTAAAGATAAAGAGCAAGAAGAAACAAGTGGCTGTTACGATGTCCCTGCTTTAGATTAACTATTACTCCCTGAAAAGAAATGTTAAGCATTTGAATACACAACCAAATTGTGTAATCATTCTCCCTAGGCAGTTCTTTCTCTTTAAAAATCTAGGTACAATAATAATCCTTGGAAGGGAAAGTATTAAGCTAGATTTCTTAAATCTTTCCAGGCTGTGCTTTCCTTACAATAAAACTCTAGAACACATTGCTATTAGAGCTTCCACAAGGGTCAAAGAACCAGCCCCACCCACTCAAGTAGGTGGAGTAAGTGACATTCGCAGTGTTGGAGCAGAATGCACAGTAAATGGCTCCCTGGGTTGGTTAAACAGTGACCAATCTGTGATAACCACAGGAAGCTTATTACTTTGTCACAGGCCCTTTTTCAAGGCAGAAAGCCTCTGCTGCTATCGTCGGAAGGTCTTGGATGGGGATGATTGATAGATTGCCTCCACCCATCTCCTGGTGTCAGGTTGGAAGAGTAGGTGCAAATTGAAAAGTGAACCATGGTTAAAAGTGCAAGTGAAGTAAACACAGAAATACTGGCTGTTTTGGCCAAGGGGAGGAAGCAGAGGAGTTGAACATGGTACATACAAATTTGACTCTGAGAACCTTGTAGATCTCAGAATATTTACTTAGTAGGCTTGGAATTAAATTAAATCTTAGGGGCTGTGGTTTTTCCCACATCTGATTTATCTTTTCTTCAAGGATCAGTAATGCACCAGTATAGAATTATAGCTCAGAGTTAGCATGCTAGTTAAAATTCTTGCAGGATGTGCATGTTACTTTTCTCCCAAAACTCCGTAGGAGAAGCGGTATGTGGGGCATGTGAAGGTCACATCTCTATGTCACCAACAAACTCTGACCTGAACCTCTCCCTTCAGTTCCTCTTCTGTAAAAGAGATACCTCACAGTGGCTCTATGGTACCTCACAGTGGCTCTATGGTCACCAAATAGGAACTACATGCGGCATTATTTGTCTTTTGCCTCGTACAAACAGATGTGAGCACTAGTTCGTGCTTTGAAGTTCACTCTATTATTCGAGTTTTGAGATTGGAACGATTCAATAAATATGTGAATATTAAAAAATACTAATGAATGGAGGTGTGGAGAACCTCACTGATAATTTTTTTAAATGGGACATAAAGTAATTGGTTTGCTGCTGATTTTTTTTTGGAATATCTAGAGAGTACATTGAAAATAAGATTTGAAGAAAAACATTGATATTCATTCACATCTGTTTACTGCATGTTCTCGTATGCAAGTATATGGGCACTGAGACCATGACAGTGAACAAGAGTACCTGCTCACGTGGATCTCCACTCCAGTGCTGCCTGTGTTCTCAGTGGTTTTCTCTGGCTAATGAAATTCTTTAAAACATGCATATATATAACTTAGATAATTAAAAGTTTTTGCTGTTGTTCAGCTGTAATTTGGTTAACTTGTCTTTTTTTTGGTATCCCAGAAAATATAAGGTGATCATTAGTGTGTTTGTGGTGAGATAGTGTCAGAAATTGACTAGATACCTCGAGACGAAACCCTGTTATACTACTCAGGTTTAGTCTGTTGGCCTCAGTTTTACCTTCTTATGGAATAGTGATGATACCTTCCCTCCCAAAGTATAAGTTTTTAATGAGAGTTAGTAATAAGCCATGACTGTGTTTTGCCTCTTAAATATATAAAAACTACTAAATACCAAAAAGGTTATTAAATTCTAGTGATTTTAATGGGGTCTCCCAATAGCTGTCTTTCTGCTGCTTAATGTGTCCTGTATAACATTTAAGTCAGAACTATTCTTTCCAAAATAAAGTTTGTTTCCTAAACCATGTCAATCTAGGAACAAATTCCACCAGATGAAGCAGTCACACTAGCACAGAAAAAATAAGGAATATGTAAAAAGCTTTTATCGTTTACTCCAAAATGCTAGAAAGTAGCCAGCTCTAAGTGTTGGTTTTGGGAAAAAGACATTTAGAGAGTACTATCTTCTGTGAACCCACCAGCATAAATAACTGGCTATGATTTAATTATCCATTGTCTTTGCCTTAAAGCTGGTGCTGAGCTAAATAATTTTAAAGCTTACAAAATAAGCAGGCTAACTGGAATCAGTTTCCAATAATTCTGGTTTTATCTCTTCATTCACCTGGGCTAATGATTTGGCCTGTAATTGATTGATAACTAACATCTATACTTGGCGTTTGGCATCCTTCTGCTCTCTTGAAAACAAGACGATTATGTATAGTGTATGTTCCGGAGTAGAACAGAGAACATGTAAAGGGAGTGACCGAATCCTGAAAGAGTTAAGAATGAGCTTGATTGAAAAACGGATCATAGACTGACCTTTTGGATTTAATCTCAGTTCTGTGAGTGACTTGCATGGTAACTCAAATAAATCTGCTTCCCCTTCTTGTATCCAGTTTCCCATCTACCGAATGAAAGGAAGAATGCTGGTTTAGGAGAAGGCTGGCAAGCACAGTTCTTTAAAAATTATAAAGTTATCGTGGCTTTTGGATTAACATTTGTGTTTGTATTTTCTAGTTACTAAAGAGAGTGTACGGGAGTTTCTTGGTAAATCCAGAATCAGGTATGTAGTGATGTGCATGACTGTGGAATGACACGGAAAGAGACCTGTCCTATTTGTACTATGCTCTTTTCAGCCAAAGGATTTTGTTTAAATATTACTCCTTTTACAAATATCTCTGCATGAGCCCAGTCCCACTTTAACTCTCTCCATAAAAATAGCTTTTGAAGGAATTTGCATTGTCCAGTAATAGTACACAGTGTGATGTACAGAATTCATGTATGTTTTTAACATTTACTTAAAGGGGCCAATTGATACTTCCTTAGCCTTTCAGCTAGAGAGCCACCTTTGTTTGCTTATGATTAAATGCCTTTTGAGAAGACTAAGCAAACAGTGATTTCCACCCCCAACCCCTACGAACACCTTTTTCTGTGCACTGCACATTTGGAGAAGAAAAAGGAATATTCACAACTATTTTCACATTTTCAAGTAACAAAAATTTTAGATACTGAATCCATTCTTTTAATAAATGATCGCTTCCTCCTTCGTGGCCAGAGGAATTACAAAGCACCATGGCCATCCTTGATTAGAATAGCTACTTTCTACTAGCTATACTGCTTTAAAGGAAATTTAAAGTGGGAAAAACTGGACAATATTTTCATCCCTGTGATTAAGTGGTAGTCTCAAATTCTAGGGCATTCAGCTGAGTCCCATAGTCAGTTCCAAGTAATAAAACCATTTGAGCATAATGCTCGTTACTCAAATACTGTTGCTGTAGCACCTTCATTAGCACATTGTTTTAAGAAGGAAGGTGTGTCAAGTCACTTTCTTTTAACAGCAGTTACTTTCGCTAGCTTATTTCCTCCCCCCAACCTTTTTTTCTTTTCTTTTCCTTTCTTTTTTTTTTTTTTACTTTTTTACAACATGCCACTGCCTTACCACTCCCATTAGAATACCTTCCTGCGTATTTTATATGCGGCTCTGCAAACAAAACACAAAAAGCTGCCTTTGGAATATAATTTGCTGCTAGGAGTATTTGTGGATGGGAGCTTTTGACTGCAGTCAATAAAAAATACTGCAATATGTTAATCTCCAAATTGATGGTACTAGTGTATCACAGAAGTAAAAACCAAAAGGTAAATAACAGTAGGCTTTAAGAGGAATCAAGGAATTTCAAAAAGAAACAGCTAGAACAGAAAAATCATGTAGGAACTCTTGAGCATACTTCTTACAACTCAGACTCTGAAATCTATCAAAACAACTGGAGTATAACACAGCTTATGTTTCTGTCCTTGGGCCTTCTCTTCCACTTCCTGCTAAAGCACAGACAGTGCCAGATTGCAGACTTTCAAGTGCAGTACACGTGAAAGTAGTCTCTTTTTTTGTATGGATTTATCTAGGTAAGTTTGGAGAACTCAGTAGGCCATACTAGATTTTTACTTTTCTAAATCCTCGCTGTGTTCTTTTCATCATGTCAGAAGCCTTACCAAGGTCTGACTTCATAGTTTTATTTAGTTTATTTGGCACCTTAAAACTAGCAAATCTCACTTGATCTTAGCCAGAAGTCCAAGACGTGATAAAACTAGCAAACCTCAACTTTAAACATTTTCTTTTTTTATCTAATCGTGTAGTCTGCTTATCCGATTTTCAGATCCCCGGAATGGAATGGTGGTTGATATTATTTAATATTGGAGGGCCAAAAAATGCTAAGCACTATCTAGAACAGAGATTTTGATAGCCCATGCTCTCAATAAGAATAGCGTCAACAACAATAACAGAAACAGACCTCAGAAATGCTCTTGGGAAAAAATTAAATAGTAACAAAGTACTGCATAAAGAATTAAGATATTCGGCAATGTGAAATTCATGCAGTTCTGGGAAAAGTATTCCCATCAGTTGCCTAGAATATGAAATAATCCTCAGTGATAATACAGATATTCTTGCAAAATCATCACTTTTTGGCACACATTACTTGTTTTGTTATATAATCAAGTGCCCAGCCTTGTTTGCTGGAATTTGTGCTCAGTGTGCTGTAAGGAGGCAGAATAGTGTAGTGGTCAGCAAATTTGGATTTCAGTCCTGTTCTGCCCCATTTATTGATGACCATCTCTGTTCCAGACACTAAATACTGTACATCCTCTTAATTCTCCTAACAGTCCCCCCTATCTCACCACCCCTTTTTGAATAGTTGCAGGAATTGTAGATGTTAGGCGATTTGTCCAGTGTCACAAAGTGGCAAGGCCAGAATTTGGACCCAGTTCTGTTCATCTCCAAGTAGAGTTGCCTCTGCCTCTCTGTCACGCTGCATTTGTCACGAACTTTGAACCTCTCTCTCTCTAACATGAGAATAACCATATCTGACCTGCCTACTTCAAAGAATTCTTATGGAGATCAAATGAAATGAAATATTTTTAAAACACTTTGAAATTTTTACAGTGTATACAAATGAAAGCTACTGGGAGGAGGATTTTTTTCCCCTAGATTTTTCTATATCTTGCCTCTTTCCACACAAGGTTTGTGATAGCACAAAGGAAGTACATTTTATTAACAGAAAGCAACCCAGCAACCATGTTGGCATTTAGTACATTAAACCACGAGAGAAAAATATATAACTCATACTGTAGTTTGATAGCATATGTACAGTCACCTTCACAGCTGTGTCTGGAACACTAAATTTCTAGTCAAATTTCTCAGTATGACTTCCTCCATTCTTTATTTGTAATCGGTCATCTTTGATATTGATTCAGTTTTTGCATAGCTTTTGTTAATTAGCTATATATATTTACAGTGTTATTATAAGAATAAAGGTTTTATTTTACTTCATTTGTCCTATAATGTAGATGGGAATTGATAGCATTCTGCTGAGGCTAAAAGTATGATCACTGAGACAAAAAGAAAATGTCATTAGAACTTGAAAAGTTTTTTTTTTAATGTAACTGCTGGGTGTTTTTTTCCCCTCCAGGATACAATGTCTCTTTGCTATATGACCTTGAAAATCTGCCTGCATCCAAGGATTCCATTGTGCATCAGGCCGGCATGTTGAAACGAAATTGTTTTGCCTCTGTCTTTGAGAAATACTTTCAGTTCCAAGAAGAGGGCAAGGAAGGAGAGAACAGGGCAGTTATCCATTATAGGGATGATGAGACCATGTGAGTATAGAATTGATCCTGAAGCCTGGGTGTGGCTGTCACGTGTTCTTACTGAAAGACATACAGCTAGGTCAGACCTTAGACTCTATCATGTGAACCCCCCTGAAATGTCTTTCTCAAATTCTTTGAGCCAGGAAATAGATGATGGGGGAAAAAAGGACCACTTCTCCTAGCCTGCAGATATTGAAAGTTGGCAAAAGATGAAAAGAGAATCCAGCGATTTGGTTTTTGTTTTTTGTTTTGTTTTTTTTTTTTACAGCACCACTATTCTGAGCCCCCTTCAGTAATATAGTAATCAGGAGGCAGACGGGGAGGACCCTAGGTTCAGTGTTATTGCAAGTCTTGGATCATCTGCATACTACGAATCTCA